TGATGGAGGCCAAGCATGGAACAGGCCGAAAGGAAAGGCCTCTGTGCACCACGATGCCATGGATGGAACAGACCAACAGGAAAGGCCTTCTCTGTACAGTGTTTACAGGGGCTCGCCCTCTGCCTGCAGGTTGATGTGAAGAACAGCTGGCTAGAGAACTCCTGTATCCTTTCTAAAATGTGATTGAAGACTTCTTTTTCTTGTAATTACCAATGTCCTTCAGAAAAAAAGCCATGTAAGGTTTATATAAATGGTTTTCCAGAAAAAAAAAATGAGATATATCTCTCAGTAGTAACAAGTATCTGGTATTATGGACTGAGTTGTGTGTCCCCCCAAAAAATCTATGCCATCAATCCTAACCCCGTGGTTACAACCCCATTTGAAAAAGGCTTCTCTTTGCCAGATCAGCAGACTGGGTTATCAGTCCATCATCCTTGAGGTAAAGGGAGGGATCAGGACAAAGCAGCAGCAGAGGCACAGGAAGAGAGACTCCGGCCAAAGGGGACCACCAGACAGGAACAGGGACCCTCCCCAGAGCAGACAGCGAGCACGCCTTCACGCCTTCCCCTAGAGATGGGGGAAGACACGCCCGCCAAAGGGGACCACCAGACAAGAACAGGGACCCTTCCCAGAGGAGACAGCGAGCACGCCTTCACGCCTTCCCCTAGAGATGGGGGAGGAGACGCCAGCCAAAGGGAGACAACCAGAAAGGAACAGGGACCCTCCCCAGAGCAGACAGCGAGCACGCCTTCACGCCTTCCCCTAGACACGGGGGAAGAGACGCCAGCTGAAGGGAGATCCCCAAAGAGCAAAGGAACAAGAACCTTCCCCAGAGCAGTGAGAGACCCCAGGGCAGAGAGCAAGTGCTCCTTCCCCTGGAGCCGGCGCCCTGAGTCTGGACTTCAGGCTCCTAAACGTCAGAGGGTCATCTTCTGCTTCTCAAGCTGTCCACCGATGAACCACAAAGAGAGCATTTCTCCACAATGAAAGCAAAGGCTGCTGAGCCACCAGCTGCCGTCAAGGAAGCTGCCAGACAGGCAGGCTGAGGACACACAGACCAGCATCCTGGGTGGGCGTCTACAGGTGAGTGAGCGCACGTGTCTGTGCTTCGCCCATGTGCCAACTGTGAGAGAACCACCCGCCGCCCACACAGCCTGGATGTGCAGCCTTCACAGAGCAGCCAGGGACCATACCTTGTAGTTGGCGTGAGTTGCTTTCAGAACGTCATGCAACTTGAGGTACGAAGGAAGGTGATAGAAACTTCCCAGCGAAGAGGACTTACTTGTCGCAACAGGCCCTGGAGTATCGGATTGTCTAGAAGCTTAAAAAACATACACACAAAACAAAAACTTTGACATCAAAAGGAAAAATTTCCCAAGTCAAAAATGCAGCTTACTGGCAATAATGATTTTCAAAAGAATCTCGGTAGAAAGATGTTCAAGTCTTTTCCCTGACTTTCTGATTAACTGGAAATAATGAAAAATTGTTAATAAACACAAATAGAATCTGAGTACCCACCCCACCCCACCTCCCAAAAAACAAAGCAGGTAAGAAAAGCCACCGTGACTTGGTAGGTTTTGCTGCACGTTTGCAGGCGTGGAAGGCAACGGTTTGAGGATCTGAGGCATAGCTAAGCGAATGACCTTCACCAATCCCCAATCCTGCAACCTCTCTAACCCTAAGGTCCCTCACTGCAAAATGGGGATGATCCCTGGCCATTTTGCTTGGTGAGCTCGCTAAGCAGCCCAACAGAGCTGCATGAGAAAGTGCTTTAAAAACTGCAAGAGGCACAAACATTGTCACTGAACTGATGCTAATAACTATGAGAGCAGCTGCCTCTGTACACATTCTGCCAAGTCTGAACAGTGTTTTACTGGGTGCCATTAGCTTATTAATTCTTGAGACAGATACTCCACCACTGTGATGTAGTAAATTATACGGTATGGCTTTTCTAGCCACAGTCTTTGTAACTCCCACTTGGCCATGAGCAACTGAGTAGCTGCTTGTTAAAGTTACCCACTTGGGGCAACATGAAGTAATCTTCTGGGAAAGTTCGCTCTCTCTCAGGTGTGTAGAACTCTGATGTTGGGATTCGTTGGTTTTGCCACTCTGCCAGGCTCAAAATAAGCCCTCCTAGGGGCAGAAGGGATCTCTCTGTCTGCCAGCTGAGAGAGACACACTGCTGAGAAAGAGAGAGAGAGAGAGAGAGAGAGAGAGAGAGAGAGAGAGAGAGAGGGGGGCGTGCTGCTGAGAGAGAGACACGCAGCTGAGAGAGACACGTGGCTGAGAGAGATGCCCAGAGGAGAGATGGTGCCAGTGGAACCGAGAGGCATGAGACAGAGCAGCAGGCTTACCTGGCCCAGAGAAGCAGAGGCCAGGTCAAGAGGCCAAAGGCCAGAGAGGTGAGTCTAAGGGCACAGCAGAGGAGAGACTGTCCTGACCGAAGAACTGTATTCTGAGTACATTCCTGAAATTGAATTGTAGCCTGTTGCTTCTCTAATAAACCCGTAGTCCATGAGTTGTATGTGGCCACTGCAGCGAATTATTGAACCCAGCAGAGAGGTGGTGGGTGCCATGAGAGAACAGCTGGTGTGAAGGTTGTTAAGAGGCCTGGAGGGTGGCGGCATGTCTGGCCTCATAGGAACAGGCCTTGGGCTGTTGATGGTGATTCTGTCTTCCTGTTGTAGAGTTAGAGGAGGTCAGAAGATGCCACCTTCCTGCCCCTTTAGCAGCCATGTACCAGCGATGCACGTCTGTAAGGCTCCGGAGCTTTGGACAACAGTGCCCCTTCCTATCATACTAAAAAGTTAATCCTCAGAAAACATCCTTTTACTAAGTCCAGAGACAAGAAGACCAAGACGTAGGCTAACACTCCGGAGAACTTGGCATCACACAGCAAGGATTAACGCTCACTGGGCTACGGGAGCATCCAGGTGGCATTACCTGAGCCGACTAGGCGATCTTGTTTCTCAGGGTCCCATCCTCTAGCTCCATATAGCAATGCGTCAGGGTGCCCAGCTTGGCATGGATGTCTGTCCACAGACAGAGCTTCTACCTCACAGACGGAGTTCCCTCCAAATGCCACCCCATTCTTCTCCTCCCCGTTGCCTCTCCTTACCTGGTCCAGCTTCTGTGCCCTTCTTTGGGCTCAATGGCACAGAGGCCTGCTCCCCTGCTTCTTTCTCCTTCCCCTTCCGTCGGATCGGACTTAGAGAAGGGGGGTTGGTTAGAGAAGGCAGGGCTGCCTGAAACAGGAAACAAGAAACGTGAAAGAACAACCAACACAAAAAGCAAAAGCAAGTGCCTGCTTAGGGCCTGACCATTTGCTGCAAAGAGCTAGGCTGTGCAAGTCCTCTCTGTCATCTGAAATCATGTTTATCAAATGCATGTGCTATACATGCATTCCCTACTTTAAGTCACATGACAACTGAGCATGCCAGGTAACAAGCCAAGACTTCCTGACAGGTGGACTGGAAGGGGGCTGTTGTGCCCCTCAGCCCTCAGGGAGCCATGGAAGGCCTCAGACAGCTGGGACATTGGGCACATTCCCCAACAGCACACAGTCAGGGGGTTCTGTGTGTGCCACGACATGAGATACAGCATGAAACGCTGTCAACTCCACTCTACAGAAAAGGAAACAGCTCCCAGCTAATAAGCAGTAGAGCTGGACCCCCAGAGCCCACCCTCTGTCTCGAATACGACCCATGGCAGGATGGAGAAGGCTCAGGAGGCAGCCTGCAGGGTGGGCACAGCAGGGATGAAATGGCAGAGATGTGGGTCCCAAGTGCCAGCTCTGTCACTTCCTAACTGTGGGACCCTAGGAAAGTCACTTCCCGTGTCTCTGAACCTGGCCTGTAAAAAAAGAGTTGGAATGGGGACAGAATGGCTGCATGGGAGGGAGGGAGGCAGGTCGGCAGACCAGCTAAACACACAGCACTAAGTGAAGTTCCCCACAGATCCTTACGTAAGCATCATGCCAGCCACTGAGCACACCAGAGGGGTGTTCCAGCCGCAGGTCATTTGCTGACACTTAGAAAGGGTGTGAGAACAGACTATCGGAGCCTAATGGTCCCACACAGGCCACTGAAATATAAACAGAAATCAATGACAAACAAAACGAGCAGCTCGCGGTCTGAGGTGCTCACCAGCCTTGTGCTCAGTGGCTACCATCCTGACAGCACAGATATGGAATGCGCTCATCGTAACAGAGCACTCTGGTGGACAGTGCTGAGAGAGAAGTCAAGGAGACCCAGGACACATCTGAAGGGTGAGCAGGAACGGCTAAGCCAGGACAGCGAGCGGGGACCAAAGGAAGGTAAAGACAAGGACAAATGAGACAATACGGAAGCGCACGGAAGAGCAGCTTTGGACACGAATGCTGTATGGAATTGCACCGCAGACCGACAGGGGCCCTGACCCGGCGGGAAGAGCTGCTACAGTGACAGTAGAAACTTGACAGGCAGGGCTTAAGGAGTCCAGGCCACACGAGGCCACACAGGCCTAGTGAAGGCTGGTCACCCGCACAGAGCACTGGGAGACCCAACTCTTCAGGAAGTTTGGAGGGAGGGGAAGAGACGTAATGGAAGCTAACGGAGCACGCAAAGTGAAAGAGTGGTTTTCAAGATGGAGGAGACCGGAGGTGGGAGACACAGGCAGGAGAGTGACTAGGTGCAACGGTAACCTGACTGGCCTACCTTAACCCCACTGTGCAAACAGTGCAACATCTGTTATCAAGTGGATCATACCGACACTGAACTTCAAAGCAAAGCAAAGCTCTTGCACTAACACCTCCAAGAGACATCAAAGGGGTTCTCCAAGCAACCACCTGAACTCTGACCTCTCCGCTCAGCGCTGGAAGCCAAAGGGTCAGCTGGGGAGTTTTATCTCCCGCTCAGAGGCACCAGTAATTGACAGGCGCAAAAAAAGGGTGAAGGAATAAGGACCACCTTTTGATGTTAAAGTTGGTAATGAGATGACCCATTTTCTTCCTTTAGAGCCGAAGAGGAGACGGAGGGGATGGACAACGGGACGTTTAGAAGCCGGCAGAGCCATGAGGACTGCAGTGGTGCAGCCCTGGAGTGAGAAGTTACCTTTGCTGCAGGCCCGGGGGCCACATCGTCCAAGACGTGGGCACAGACATTGATCACCTTCAGCAGGTGACAGAAGAGCTGCTCCACCATGGGGACCAGGGTCCGGTCTCCCAGGGCCGGCCACACCTCCTCCTGTTTGGTGGCTGCTGGGCTGGCTTCTTCGTCAGGGGCCCAGGAGCTCCTCAGAGATCTGGGGGCACTGGCTGTGACATGGATATGCATGTCACCTCCCGTCTCCAGGGTGCGGAAGATGAAATGGCTTAACAAACACATCCTTGAGCACTGCCGATGTTCAGCCTGCTGGACGTCTCCACCTGACGCTCCACCAAAGCCTCCACTCAATGTGAAACGTGACACTGGCATTTTCCCCCAAGATCTGTGATCCTAATCTCCATGGCTGTCACCCTCATACACCACCCAAAACGGAGTCACCCTGGACTCCTCCTGGATCCTCAGAACTAAAGTGCAACTGGGAACAAGGCCTCTGCTTCTGCCTCCTTGATGCTCTTTCCCTCAGTCTCCTCCTCTGAATCCCATAGGTAGCCCTAACTTACAACACACTCAAGTCAAGACAGACCGCACTTACCACCATGTTTTTTTGTCACACCTTATTGTTACAATCATCAGTAATATGTACTACATATGTGTTTGAGCACACAATTTGCGAATTGTGGTACTTAAGGCTGTTGTCAACTTGGCTGGGCCTGGCTGAGTGGCTGGGCAGCTGGATGTAGTTATTCCCCATGGTGAGACTGGCAATCAACTCCATGGTGGAATCTACTGGAGTAGCTGAGTAGCTGCTTTAGGGCTGTGGGCTGTTTCCAGTATTTAAGAAGCCACTTTGAAGAAAGTCTCCCCCTTACGATCCACTTGAACCCTGCACATAGCTGAGTCATTGTTCAGCAGCCTGCCATGTTGCCCTGCTGATCTTGGGACTTTTACTTGTCGAACTTGGGTTTGTCAGCCTCAGCAGCCAGCAGCTGCCTGAGTGAAGAAAAGCCTCCAGCTTCAGTGGGCTGTAAGCAGGAGACAGAACTGAAGCCCAAGGTTGAGGGGCTTCCACCCAGCCCCTAGAGTTAGCACTTTGAACTTGGACTTCTAGCCTCCAAAAACTGTAAGAATAAACTCCTGCTTTTTAAAACCATCCCACTGTGGCATATTTTCTGTTAGAGCGGCACTAGGGAACCAAAACACTTATGTTCTCATTCTCAGACATTCACTTGCAGATGTTGTTGTTGTTGTGTGCTGTCAAGTCGGACCCGACTCATAGCGACCCGTCCTTGGGTTTCTGAGGCAGTATCACTATGCAAGTAGATTGCCCTATCTTCCTTCCGAGGAGTGGCTGGTGGGTTTGAACCACCAGCCTTCTGGTTAGCAGTCAAGTGCTGTAGCCACTATGCTACCAGAGCTCCCCACTTGCAGCTGGTCAAAGAACAAAGGAGGCATTCAACTTACGTCACAGCCAACTTGCGAGCAAGTTGTTAGAACAGAAGCCTGTTGTATGTTGGCAAGCACCTGGATCTTAGTTTGGACTCCCTCTCTTTCCTGAACTAGGTCATTAATCTCCTAGTTGACTTTCCTTATCTTCTCCTCCAACCCACATTCAATCCAGCTGAGCACACCTTTGAACTACTCCTCGTCAGCCAACTGCTGCCCAGCGCCCACCCCACCTGATCCTAAAATGACCACTGTTTCCCAAACATCTCCTCATTTTCCACGCCTCTGTGCCTTTGCACATGCTGCGCCCTCTGGCTGGGGTGCCCTTTGTTGCCAGCCCATAACTTTCACGTCCCGTCCTGATCCCCAAGGAGACCTTCCCATGGCCACACCATGTGCTCACCATGCTGCTCTTGCCTGACTTTGGTCTACACGCACCCCGTTCATCTTCAGTCTACTTGAGAACAAAGCCTGCCTGTCACACGTTGTTAAACGTTCTTACAACCCCAGTGCGGCAGACAGTCCCTGGCTCACGGTACCCTCTCCACCTCGGATCAGAATCCAGTTTCTGTACAGCTGACTGAAGAGTGAGATGGGAGGCTGCTCAGAGTGGAACAGCCGCCAGTGCTAAACCAGCACGAGGCAAATCATTCCCCAGATGCCGGGGGGCCTCCACGCTTCCAGAAAAACACCTGGAAGTGGAAACCGCTCGTCTGAGCACCACCGCCCCTCACTGCACTCGCAGGTCAGCGTCAGCACATATGCTAGGTCACAGCTCATCTCCAGCAACAAGGTCTCTGTCTGAGCCACGCTGCCAATCTTGGCACACAAGTGGAGCCCTGAGCGACACTATGGGTAAGCACACAACTACTGGCCAAAGGGCTGGCGGTCGGAGCCCACCTGGAGGCTCCTCAGAAGACAGGCCTGGCCACCTGTGTTCCAAAGGTCACAGCCTCCAAGGCCGAGGAGCAATCCCCTCTACACACGTGGGGTCGTTGTGAGTCAGAATCAAGTTGGTGGTGCCTAACGATGACAATGCACATGTCTAGCACCGGGAACTTTCCCTATAGGAGCAAAGACTACTGGCCCCACACTATGTTTCCTTCCTGTATTCACTACCCTGATGCCCGAGGAGAAAGTGGGAAAACCCTAAGAACACAGAGTCTCTGTTTCAGCCCAGTCCCAGTACCTGCGAGCAAGTTCCCAGCCAACGTGAGGGCGTCCTGATGAGCAGAGAGGTCCAGGGGGAACCAGGCTGAGGAAAGCAGGGTGAGGACCATGGCAGCCATGCCCACAGTGCAGCTCTTTCTGGAGTCGTCAGAGGCAATCAGCGGGGGGACTCTGGAAGCAGACACATTAGGCAGTCACGTTACAGAACGGCGTCAAGCAGCCAGACTTGCAGCTTCACTTATGAACCTAAAAGGAAGGCATGCCACTGTCCGTTCAACCTCAGCTCAGAACTGAAGCTTCTCCAAACCACAGCTCAATAAACAATCCACCGAGACGACTTGAGAGGTGAGATCAGACAGCAGATCTGATCGAAAATGTTGCAATGATTGTTGGTAGTGATTTTTAACTTTCTCCCCATTCTGAGTTAGCACATTATGCTCCAGGGCTGAAGCTGCTGAGAAGGCAGTGTGGGACCCGTGACGGAAAAACTAGCTACTCAGGAAGTATCTGGCGAGAGAAAGGCTCATCCCAGACCAGAGAAGGCTCCACTTCTAACAAGCGCCAACTGGCCGTCTGCTCACTCACTGGGGAAACCTGCAGATGTGCTACCAGTGGGATGGTGACTCGCCGGAACTCCGCCCACGGCCGGCACGCAGCGTGAAAGCTGCCTCCTCATGGTGCAGAAGCCTCAACATCGCTTCCCAGATGCCACCAAGGTGTCTCCAGGAGCAGCATTTATGAACGGGAGCCAGTGACCCGAGGGCAGGAGACTGACCTGCACTCTCGTAGTTCACCACAGTTTTGTACAGTAGGCCACACCTGACTCCCAGCATAAAGTGTTTCGGAATTTTTAATACATGGTGGACAACTCTGGATGGAACCATGCCAATTAGCAGAGTCATTTGCCAAAAGGTGTGACTTTCCTTAAGAAAACCTGGTCACATCCTCAAATCCCTACAAGTGCCATGAGAACTCCAACACTCTCTCCCAACAGCTCTCCTCTCCAGTTTCTACACAACGGACAGGGTAGAAACAGGCAGTCTGTCATGCTTTCTTTCAAAAGGCTTAACAAGAGGAACCAGGGATCCCAGTCACCAAGTCTATGTGATGTCAGGGCAGACAGCTCTGCCCTGAGGAGCCATACATACCCGCAGTGCCAACCCAAACTCCAAATGCAAACTGGGAAGGCCGTTGATAGAAGACAGAGAGCTTCACAGCATCCAAACTAAGAAGAGAGGGACACAAAGTCACGCCCAGCCCTCAGAGGACCAGGAAATGCAACTCCTTTCACCCTTTATAAAAAGCACAGATAACGGGAAAAACGCAGACCAGTGACTGACAGCCACCCTTAGGCCATCAACCCAGCTGGGGCCGAGTCGTCCCTTCACAGCACCACCCCCCTAACTGAAATGTGTGTAAGGACGGGTCAGCCAGTGCCTGCTGAGAGAGCCAGCAGGGTGCAGGCCTTCCTCTGACTCAGCCTGCCCTTCCCCGCCCCCTGGTTTGCTCCAGCTGGTCAGGGTCCCCTCTGCCTGGGCTCCAGGAAGCAGAGGGCAGGCATCTGGCTTGTGTCTACATCCCAGCCCAGAGCGGTCCCGGCACACACAGACCACCACAAATACGTGATGGTCCCAGTACACGTGGGCCACTGCAAGTACATGCTGGTCCCGCACATGCGGGCTACCACAAGTACAGGCCTGAGAAACCAGGCACGGGCCAGACAACGTTGCTGTCTCCACCAATACCTGGCCTCATTGTCTGAACTTTCCACAATGAGCAGAAGCTCTCACGTTGCAGAAACTTATAATAAAGGTATAACCTGCCGATCAATAAGTCACCACTACTTGGTAGGATACTATGAGTTCTGATTATGCAAGTGATATCTGTTCATTTTAGAAACTTTGGAATACACCTGAAAAATATAAAGAGCAAAAAGCACCAAAATCCTGAATTTTGCCCGTTCACACCCGTTGTTTTCCCGAGTTTGTAAGGAGTATCTATGAGAATATTATTTTTCACTACTGAAATCCTAATGTGTACATTATTAAATATGTTAAGTATCAATACATTCAATTTAATTATATAATAAGTTATTAAATATATTTTTTAAATTCTCTAAAACATCCTATTAATGTTGTTGTTGTTGTTGTTGTTTGCCGTCGAGTCGGCCCCGACTCATAGCGACCCCTCCTTGGGTTTCCGAGGCAGTATCACTACGGAAGTAGGATTGCCCAACCTTCCTTCCGAGGAGTGGCTGGTGGGTTTGAACCGCCAGCCTTCTGGTGAGCAGTCAAGTGCCTTAGGCACTATGCTACCAGAGCTCCTATTAATAGGTACATAAATACTCCACTTGCTGTTGTTGGGCACCTTCAAGTCAATGCTGACCACAGTGAGCCCACGTCCAACAGAACAAAACCCGACCTGGTCCTGCGTCATCCTCACACCCTTGCTGACTCGAGTCCATGTAGCCGAGCTCCTCTTTTCCGCTCTCTCCTTTACCAACCACGGTGTCCTTTTCCAGGGACCGGTCCTTCCTGACACGACCAAAGGACGTGAGGGCAAGTCTCGTCATCTGTGCGTCTAAGGAGCACTCTGGCTGCCTTCTTCCAGGACGCATGTGTTCATTCTCCTGGCAGGCCAGGTTTTCCGTAGTATTCGCCAACACCGCAATTCAAATGCACCAACTCTCCTTCGGTCTTCCTTATTTATTGTCCAGCTTCCACATGCGTATGAGGTGACTGAAAATGCCATGGCTTGGATCAGGTGCACCTCAGTCTTTGAAGAGGTTACGTGCAGCAGAGTTGTCCAGTGCAGTATGTTGCTTGATTTCCTGACTGCTGCTTCCACAGACGTGATTGTGGAGCCAGGTAAAACAAAATCCTTGACAAATATTATATAGGTACAAAATGTAATCATTCTTATGTCCTTGGACATTATGGTTCTTTTCCAGTCTTCAGCATCAGGAATAATGATACAGGTAATGACGGTACAAAAACTGTGGTTGGCATTTCTGGTTTCTCCTTGGTCTGTCACGAGGTCACTGAGTCAATCGTGTTTCAAGCTTTTGCTACATTCTCAAATGCCCGTGAGGTGCTCACACTGACACACAGTGCCAACCCAGGGGCTGCAGTGGCACAGGGTATAGTATTTAGCAGATTCTGCAACCAAATGCCCTGTGTGAATGCCAATTGTGCCACTTAGCAGCTGTGTGAACCTGTACAAAGTACATAACCTGTGTGTGTCTCCATGTCCACATCAGTGAAATGGGCTGGAAGAGCTGACGCGTGGTAGGTGTGTACAGCAGTGCTGGGTGTGGGGAACCACTGCACGTCGCCAAGCACAGGCCTGGAATGGACCCACTGACGTATGCAGCCTCCAGCCTGAGTCAGCTCATGGTCCTTCCCTTCAGCCAGACAGAATGACATAGGAGCCCTAAGGTGCGACAGTTCACTGCGCTTGGCTGTGAACTCAACGGCTGACAGTCAGAACCCCTCCACAGCTCTGCAGAAGACAGACCTGGTGACCTGCTCCCCTAAAGGCTGCAGCCAAGAAAACCCTACGGCCAACAGTGCCCAGGAGTTTCAGTCACGACTGACCACCCCAGCACAAGCCGACAGCTTCCCTGTGCCAAGCCCCACCCCACACCCAGCATGCTCCACTCAGCAGCTCGGTCAGACCTGGCAACAAACTTGGAGATGGTATTAACCTTAGGGCAGCTCAGAGACATGGAATAATTTTATCAGAAAACCAAAAAAGAGCAAACCCACTGCCATCAAGTCAATTCCAACTCATAGTGACCCCCACTGGGTTTCCGAAGCGGTAAATCTTTACAGAAATAGATTACCTAGTCCTGCTTCTGCAGAGTGGTTCGTGGGTTTGAACCACCAACCTTCTGGTTAGCAGTTAGATGCCTTAGGCACTGTGCTCCCAGAGCTCCTTAATTTTATCAGAAAGTCCCACAAAATTAAGACTGTGGTGATGTCTGCACAACCCTGTGGAGACAGTAACACGCACTGAGTGGTCACTGGAAACAGGTGGACTGTCTGATATGAGAATCACAATTCAGTAATTAAAGCTGTGCAAACAGAAAAGTGCCTCAGCCAGGTCAGTGGGCTGGTTAGGAGGCTTAATGAACATTACAAAGGACCTTGAATTTTCCAAAGACCCGCCACTGTTTGCTTGAACCCTGTGAGATTGACAAGCTTGACTGTCCCTGACCCATAAAAACAGCAACCTCACATGGTTCAACCTCAGGATCTATTCTCATTTAACCTTTTCAACAGCTCTGTGATGTCACCAGGAGCTCTGGAGTGCTGTGGTTGAGGCATCAGGCTGTTAACCAAGCGGTCAGTGGTTCGAACCCACCACCTGCTCACAGAAGAAAGATGAGGCCGTCTGCTTCTTTAAAAATCTGTTGTTGTTCTTGTTATGTGCCGTGAGTCGGCCCCGACTCACAGCAACCCCTCCTTGGGTTGCTGAGGCAGTATCACTACAGAAGTAGATTGCTTCCTTCCGAGGAGTGCCTTGGAAACCCTATGGTCACAATGAGTCTTAATTGACTCAATGGCAGTGGGCAGGGTTTGTGAAGTCTCTTGGGCTTGAGAAAATTAACTCTGTTCCCAGTAGTCTGCTTCAGAGAAGCCCAGATGGGTCAGTGGTGGGCTCGGAACCGAGTGCCAGGCCCCCGCAGAAGCACCAACATGCAGGACACAGCTGAGATCCAGTTCCAGAAGGCCTGCAAACACAGCCTCCCAGTTCAAGACCCCCGTTTGTGTCCTTACTGGGAACGTTTGCTGTCACCTGACAGGAAGATGCGACTCTCGAACGCAAGGCCAGCCCACTGCTCTACACCTACTGGTTCCCACGTGGAGGAGGGAACGTGAGGGACACACATGATATGGAACTGGTATAAGGAGCCTTTTGGAAGTAGCTATACCAAAGGAAGACTGGGCAATCTACTTCTGTAGTGACACTGCCTCGGAAACCCAAGGACAGGTCACTATGAGTCAGATCCGACTCGACGGCAAGCGAGTTTGGTTTTTTTTTTGTATGCCAAAGAGGCAGAACATACATCCCAGTTCTTAAAAGCACAGCCACCTTTATGCGCATGTGCACGTCTTCTGTGCTGTCTGATTTTTCTTTCTTTTTTTCACAACAAGCATATTTTATTTAATAATCAGGAAAAAAACACAGCTCTTTACTTCCTATTGGAAACAACGAAGACTCATCAGGAGCACAGCTCCTCGGGAAGCCCCGGAGAAGCCAGAGCTCTGACACGCGCTCTCCCCAGCGAGACCCGACCCACAACTGCCGAGATCGCATCCTCAAGATCCCCCAGAAATGACTCACTGTGAGCGCCCGTGTCGTTGACGTGATGAGCTCGTGTGAGACAGCGGCGACGACTCTCGAGAGGTTGTTTTCCAGCGTGACGTCCGTCATGCTTGGCAGTAAGTTATAGCCTCTATATATTCTAGCAAGAGAAAGAGGGAGACTTGCAGAGATGGTTAAAGCTTACTGTACTGTAAAGGGCACAGGGCCCTGAACAGTTTAAAATCACGGGCACGAGACGCTAACGCAGTCTTGGCTGCTCAGGCAGGGAGAGCCTGGTCACTGATATATGAAAACAGCCCACAGCATTTTCCCTGCCCAGCATGTCACTCACCCCAAACCCCTCCACTGCCACACTGGAGCAGAGCCCACCCCCCATCCTGGCCGGCCATCTCTACACGTCGGAAGGTACCCATAGGTCAGAATTCAAGTTAAAGGAGACCCAACCGCAGCCCGTCACCAGGGCTGGCTGCCCACAGCACCTTCTCTGCACCCCATCCATGGTACGTGCCAGCTCCTAGCCCGTCAGTCACGGACAAATTCTAACTTGCCGACTGTTTAAACGAAGCCTAAACATTCGTGCCTGATGGACTTCTATGTCCCTCACCGTGCCTTGCCAGCTGGAGGCTCTTGACAACAAAAGTAAGGAGGACATTATGCTATCTTCCCAGACTGATGCCACCAGAGCAGAAGCGAAGCAGCAGAGAGGCACACCTGGGAATTCTGTCCCCTGTGCACGGACCTAGCAGACAGCCATGTGTTGAGACACCAGTTAGCGTGTGACTGGGAAGAACAGTGGCTACTAGCCACCTTCAGTTCCAACATGTATGGCTCTCTGTCGGCACCTCCAGTCCCACCATGTACGGCTCTGTCGGCAGCAAAGAGTTCTTCTCTAAATTGACTTTAGAAACAGCAGTCCATCAGAGCCCCCAGTGTCCCTCATAATAAAACACTCTCCGTCCCTAAGGACACCTGCCCTGAATCTTTCCAAAGACAGGAAATGCCAATTATGAGGCTGTGGGAGTTAAGGTTGTGCGTCAACACGGCTGGGCTTGGTTGAGTGGCTGGGCAGCTGGATGTAGTACTCCCCGTGATGAGACGGGTCATCAACTCCGTGGTGGAATCTACTGGGGAAGCTGAGTAGCTGCCTTAGGGACGTGGTCTGCTTCCCGTGTGTAACGAGAAGCTTTGAGAAAGGTCTCTGAACTCTTTGGCAGCTTGGACCCTGCATGTAGCCGAGTCTTCATTCAGCAGCCTGCCATGTTTCCTGCCAATCTTGGGACTGGCTCTGGACTTGAACGAGTGACCTACCATGTTGTGTGCTAATATTGGGACTGTGCCATTTTATTGGTCAACCCTGGGTTTGTCAGCCTCAGCAGCCAGCAGCTGTCTGAGTGGAGATGCCTCCAGCCTCAGTGAGCCAGGAGCAGGAAGCAGAGCTGAAGCCCAAGGTCGAGAAGGCTTTCACCAGCCCCTAAAGCTGGCACCTGGAACTCAGACTTCTAGCCTCCTCAACTGTAGGAGAATGAACTCCTGTTTGTTAAAGTCACCCATCTGTGGTCTGTCTGTTAGACTGGCACAGGTGAACCAAAACAAGCTGAACAAGAAAACCCTCTAAGAAGGAAACCGTGAGGTAGCCAAGACCTTATTTCCATGTAGGAGGGTTATGTTTTATTTTGTCTTGTTTTTAGCAGTCTTTACATTTAAAAAAAAAAAAAAAAGGCTAATATTTATTTAGGAATCATGACTTCAAACTTTGACCATCTGAGTTCTACATGTGGAAAAAAAAAGGGCCAAGTGATCACTTATGCTTAGAAGCTATGTAGTCCCACTTTAAAAAATACAAAGAAAAATAAACATGCAGAGCAGAGAGAGCACGTCGCCGCCCTGCCAGCACTTCTGCAGCCTTCTGTGCACACGCACATCCTGAGCAACACCAGAGCTTCCCAGCACGTCTCCACTCGAATGCCTTGTCTGTTCTACGCTGCTCATCAGAGATTCACAGGAGAATGGAATAGCACAACCACTTGATCCAGATCTCAGAGCTTCTCACAGCAGATGTAAATAATAGTATTTCCAAGTCACTGGGCTAGTGGGTCACCCTAAATGACAATGATGCTCACCTCCATATTCACAGGCATGACTGAACGACTGTGCCCACAGGGATAACCCAAAACCTGTTGTCATCCACTAGATTCCGACCCACAGCGCCCCTAGAGGACAGAGTGGAACTGCCCACAGGTCTCCCAGGCTGTCAATCTTCACAGAAGCAAAG